AGCTCTAAGAGGGGAGGAGGAAGTACACAACACACTCGTTGGCTGAGGAAAACTAGCAAAAGTAACACAGAGTAAGTGGTTTTATAGACGTCAATTCAGTTGTTCTTTCTACCACCCCATGAGGTAGGTACTTTTAATAACTCCTTTTTATAAAGAAGGAAACTGGGAAAACCAAGATTTGATATTACGTCCTTGGCTTGCCTTCAAAGGACAGTATAAAAAATTATTACTCTGTGGGCGTCTTGCTACTTACTTTCAACAATAGCAATTTCAAAGCTATTCACCAGGAAAAAAAAATACATATTAGCTCTGCTTGCCACGCAAAGGGGTCTAAAACCATTGGTGTGTAGTAGCCTTCTTAATTTAGATTTTTAAATATCCCTTATATAAAGACCCTTATAACAAATTCCTCTCAGAACTTGGACCAGGAGAGACTTTCTCCTCAATATATTGTACAATTTCTTCCACTTGACAAAGGGAGTTATGAAAATCTTCATTTCCCTGTTTCACTTGGCTATGAGAAAACTTGGAGCTAAGTTTTGTGCTCAAATGCTATTGTTTGTCTCAGCCAGACTTTTTTGACTTGCCCTTTTTTTTTTTTTTTTTTTTTTTTTTTAATATTTGCCTCTCATTGTAAACCGCCTTAAGTCTCTTTGGAAGAAGGCACAGTATAAATAAACAAAAGACAAAATGTAATCCTGTTGGGGCTATGCTAGGGATTTAATAATTTACCAAAATAGTTTACATAACACCCCTGAGATCTTTTTTATCCGAAAGAGAATATTCTAAACGTAATCCTGGGCAGATACTATCTTTCACAGTGTTTATCGCATTTTTCATGCCCCTCAAATAGCATTCCAGACCACTTTGGGAAAAGAATGTAACATCTAGAGAAAATTAGCCGTTTGGTCTCATATGTCTTCTTGTTACAGGGATCTAATTAAAGTTAAAGATCTAATTAAAGATCTAATTAAGGTCCAAAACTGCGCTCTAAAATAAACCAATTTAAATCTACATTTATCAGGCAGACTTAAAACAAAGAGTACTGGGCGCCTGGGTGGCTCAGTGGGTTAAGCCGCTGCCTTCAGCTCAGGTCATGATCTCAGGGTCCTGGGATCGAGTCCCGCATCAGGCTCTCTGCTCATCAGGGAGCCTGCTTCCCTCTCTCTCTCTGCCTGCCTCTCTGTCTACTTGTGATCTCTGTCTGTCAAATAAATAAATAAAATCTTAAAAAAAAAAAAAAAAAAAAACAAAGAGTACTTTCACTCATTTCAACTATTCACCGATTAATAACTATACTGAATTTGTATATTTTTATTTAGTTCCAAAATTTCTTTCAGGAACACAGCCAAGTCTCAGCCCGCCGATTGATAAACACTATACACGTTGCATCACACATCCCCAAAAGCCAGCTTAAGGTCCAAAATGGAAATAGTTTAATAATAAAACCTTATCATATCAAGGTTATTCCTTTTGTGGGTGATCAATCCTTTCAAAGAACAAAGCCTTTTGTTTCGGCAACTTCCATTACAGGTGTGATTATGATTTCTGTTACACTTAGAGATCATTTTATATTTTAAGCATTTCAAATGAAATCTTATTTACAAAAAAAGAGAAATGAACAACACAGGAAAACGGAGAATCACAGAAAGTTGGAAAGAAGAGCACAAATCTTGGTCACAAAATAACTAAGAAGCTAAATTCTGCTCTCCAGCAAGACGTTAAAATTTAACAATTTGCTGCTTCATTCCCATTTAATTTTAGCTTGTAATAATAACCTACCCTTTTACTTCTCATTAAGTGATCTTTTCTCTTTCATTCTTTGTTTCAGAGGAACATTTAGTGAGAACTATGTGTCGGGCTCTTCATAGTAGGAGATCTAAGCAGAGACCAAAACAAATTCTTGTTCTGATATTTATTTTGCAACATCTCAGGAAATTGTAAAAAAGTAAATACTACATAAACAGTATTTACAGATTGACTAGCCTATGACCCTTGAAGTTGAGTGAAATCCACGGCACTTGAAATTAAGCTGAGATTCCTTTAAAAATCCCCAGTGGTTAATACACCTTTTCACACAGTAGTTAAGAAAAATTTACTCCTGTCAGCACAGATAACAGGATCATATCAAGTGCTGCAAATTGAATTTTGGCCTAGTCATATTCAGAACATTGCTAACGTATTTTTAAAGCCCTTGCCTTGTTAAGGAAATACAAAATCCATTATTTCTCATGAGAAATGTGTACACCCCCTCTCTTCAAACCAGACCTGGGTGTAGGGGGGTGGGGGGCACTATGGTGGCCCTTAGGAGCTGCAGCAAGTCCCCGAGTTTCCTGACCTATGAATTGGGTATACATCAGAGGCAGTTTTCTGTGAAGCTAATTAAAGCTAAGCTTCAAGGCATCTTTTCCAAGCCCCCATTCAAGGCCCTGGCAGGACCCTGGCAATATATTCACGTGGTTGTACATTTTTATACAGTTGGCAAAAGTAAGATATTTTAGCCACGGTCAGCTGAGACTGAGGTCCTTTTCCACGTGGATGTTCGCTTTGTCATTGTCCCTTGTACTGGGTGTTGCTGGGATAGCGTGAGTATGCTGCGTTTATTATTCCTTTTTCTTTTCTTTCTTTCTTTCTTTCTTTCTTTTTTTTTTTTTTTCATTATTCCTTTTTCTTTAAGAGGACTACCCAATTTTTAGGCCTCACAAAAACTGCATCAGTGTCTAGGTGTGATAATAGTACCTATTTTACAGGTGAGTTGGGAGGATTAAAGGAGTAATAGACAGTTCTGGGTACATGGTATGTAACCAATGGATGCTAGGCTAGGCATTATTCCCCCAAATGTTCTCCTTTCTCTTCTCTTCTCTTTTCTTTTCTTCCTTTCTATCTGGAAGACAAAGTCATAAAAGTTAGCATTTGATGTGCTTAAAACTGCAAATTTGTTTCATGAAAAGGAACTTTTCAAATCCCAGGAAACAAGACCAGATGATTTGGGGGGCTCTAGGCCTCTGTTGAATACATTCCTCCATTTTAAAAAAATTAAAAATTATATTTTAACATTGTATTAGTATAAAGACAAATTCTTTAATATATATTAAAACACTTTCTTAAATCGTAATGTTAATTTTTTCCCTTTGAAATTGTACCCTAAACTACTATGGAACCTAGGCACTGTGCCAATTGGAAAAGACAGTTGTAGGAGTCCCCAATACGAATAATGATAAATTTCCCAAACCATCATGGACTCAAGAACAGGTATAAACAAAAAGCAACGTGGTACATCTTTTTTTTTTTTTTTTAAGATTTTATTTATTTATTTGACAGAGAGAGAGAGATCACAAGTAGGCAGAGAGAGAGGAAGGGAAGCAGGCTCCCTGCCTAGCAGAGAGCCTGATGTGGGGCTCGATCCCAGGACCCTGGGGTCATGACCTGAGCCGAAGGCAGAGGCTTTAACCCACTGAGCCACCCAGGTGCCCAACATGGTACATCTTAAACAGAGCTTCAGGTACACTTAATAGAAGCACGTTTTTCAAACAAGATCTTAGGGACCATAGGCAGCATTTAGTTTTGGTGTTCGAAATACGCACGTGGAATAAAAAAGTAAAATAAAATATGCACATGGATGGAGTTGGCCATTAGGACACTAGCAGGAACCATGTCTTACTGTGAAACCCATATTTTTGTCTCTAAAGCTTACTTTTTCCATTAACATTCTTGCAGGTGTTTTGTTGCCCATTTTAATTACATTATCAACAAGGAAATGTTATTTCAGAAAATAAGCTTCATTTTGCCAATTTAAAAACTGAGAATTTCACCCAAAGTTCTCTAGAAAACACACTGGCCTTGGTGCTGGTGTAGCAAATAAATCACAAATGAAAACAAACAAGCTGGTTTCCTATTGAAGGTGTGTCTGCAGAGCCCTGTGACTCTGCGTGCCAAGGGCTCTATCTGGCACATTTCTGAACTTTGCAAAATTAATTGTGCCGGAGAGAACACCATCAAACGCGTCCGGCATGGAGTGTAAACATCTTCAAACCATGATTCTGCGCCATCAAGCGTTCTCCAGCTAATTTCATTTGGTGCATTACTCTGGAAGAAAATCGAGGCCAAGTGAAACTGCGGAAATGGGAACAATGCACGGAGGAAAAAATCTCACCCCATTAAGGGATCCGTTTCTTCTCTGTACAAATAAGCCCACCACGCCTTGAAGGCAAGACTAGATGGCTCCAGGATATTATCAGAATGCCCCCGCGGGCCCTCCAGGACGGAGGGAACCCTGCACCACCAAGAAGGAAGGTGTCTTGAGCGGTCAGGGCCCCAGCGCTGGGCGCATTTTAGGTAACTCAAAAAATCTAAGCGATCGCCCCTCCCCACCAACCGCCACCCTCGAGGAGGCGCAGAAGCTGGTTTTCATGTGTTTTTACAGGGGAAGCGACAACACGGCCCCACACTTTCCAATCCTCTAGGCAATGTTGGCAATGGACACTGACAGCATTTGGGGGGCCACTCTCCTTCCCCGCAGTGCCGCCGCGCGCTCGGCCGACCTTCCGTAAGGATTTGCACCCGCCCGGCCGCTTCGCTCTCTCCGGCTCCTCCATGACCTTCCGAGATCGGCCTCCCTCCCGCCAGGACTCTCCGCGGAAGCGTCACCCTTGGCGCTTCGGCTCCGCGCGCCGACGCACTCCTCCAACTCCCAGGGGCGGCCCCGCAGGCGAGCGCCGGACGCGCGCGGCCGGGCGCGGGAGGGGATAGGGGGTTGTGGCGGCGGGGGCGCGCGGGCGGCTTCCGGCGGGGGCGCGCGGGGCGCGGGCGGCGGGGCGGGGCGGTTCTGGGGGCGGGGCCAGGACAGCAGCACCCCCCGCCGAGCGGCGTGCAGGCACCGCCCCCGCGCGCCGCAGTCCCGGCTGAAGCGTCTCGGCCGTGGCTGTGGCCGTGGCCGTTAGCGTTGCCTTCAGGAGGCTCTGGCGGCGGCGGCGTCTCCCGGGGCTCGCGGAGGGCAGCGGGCGGCCCCAGGCCCGTGGCCGCCTGGAGCAGCTCGGCGCTGGGGCAGGGGAGGCGAGGCGGCGGCGGCGGCGGCGGCGGGTTGTGCCCGGCCCCCCTCCTCCTCGCCTCCAGTCCCCGGGCGACTGCGGACTCCGGGCAGCCCCCGGGCGGCGGCCGACGCGGCCGAGCGGACGGCGGGGGATGGCGAGATAGCGGCACGGCCGCGGCCCGTGAGTGCCGGAGGCGGGTGGGCGCGGCGCGGGGCGTGGGGAGCGGGAGCCAGGGAGCCCGGAGCCCGGTCCCGTGGGCGCGTCGCCGCGAGCGCCTGGCGGCTCGGGCGGGGTGGAGGGCAGAGCTCCGGACGGCTCTGGTCTGGGGGCGTCCGCGAGGAGGGACGGGGGGAGGGGGAGCGCTCCGGGTCGCACCGCTCTCCGCGCGCCCTTGGGCCACCTCGCGACCCGGAGGGCGCTTACTCCGCGGTCGCGAACTTCTGCCCCACATAGGGCAGTAAGTTCTGAGACCATAGGCTACCTGGGGGACGGGAGGGAGCTTTAATATTTATTAACTTTGGAGATGGAATCAACCGATTGATTTCGTGACCCCGTGCTTCAGCTCTTCATGAAACCACTTCTTCCTCTCTTCTTCCCTTATTTATACTGTATTTGATTTACCTGTATTTTTGTGTGTTTATATCCGAAGGCACTAGACTCAAAAACCCAGAGTTAAAGCGTTAGTGATCAAAGTTGGGTTTCATGAAAGATGCGGCTTCTGATAACATTGTCTAAAAGGGGGGAGCTGGAATCTTGAATCCTTACCCGACAGAAAACTGCATTTCTAGTGGTTGTGCATTTACGTCTGGGCTTGAATAATGTGATTCTGGTCCCCATCTTCCGCTACCGAAGTATATATATAAGGTCTTTATTCTCAGTTGGGTATCTTAGTGTGCCTTTTTGTGGAGGGTGTTTAATGCAGGCAAATATTGATATAACGTGTACGATTACTGAGTAGCATTTGTATAGAAATTAATTGTTTGCATTTCTTTTTGTGTGTTCTTTTAACAAATTTTTCAGCAGAAGGGTTTCAGTTTAAGGTTTGTCTTCTGACATGTTCATTTTCAGTTTCAGATTTGTCTTTAAAAGTTTTGCTTGGAGTAAAATTAATGTGATATAGTACTATCATTTAGTCAGGGGTCCACAAATAAATCCTAACTTGAGTTTTAAGCAAATTTCCATCCCTTACAAATGAAAAATTAAAGCGTTTGTATAGTGCAAATGATGCTTGCCCCTCCCCTTAAAATTATTATTTTGCCACAGATGTGAAATCCTCTTTCACTAATATCAGAGGGTTCCTTGTCTAAGCCTGGCAGAAGAAGGGAATAAGTATAGTGTGTTTTCAGAAACTCCAGACTCTCCTCTTCGTTTTTTACATTGACTTTCTGTTTTATCATTAGGTGGAAACTGTTAATTTGGAGGCTTCATTAGGTAGTAACAAGCTCAATTTAAATACGAGGTATGCTTTCAAGGTGAACTTAGCAGCTCTTTCCCTTCCAAGAATTGAATTGAGGCTTATTTGCTTTGTAATAGGTGAGATCACAAGCTAGCCTCTCTAATTAGTGGAGACTTGGATTCTCTTCTGGGAATTAACGATCAGGAACTCTGCTGTCAAGTGAAACCTGTGGATTTTGAAAGCCTGTACTTTTGATGATCATTCCTGAATAATATGTTGGCAAGAGTATAAATTATTCGGATATTAAAATTTATTGGATTAATTTGTGCGACGGGCACTCTGTGCCCGCTGTAGGAGATTGAATAGACATAAAAAGGTCTGGAGCACAAACTCTGCATCTCTGTCCTCTCTCTGAAACATAGCACCCTGTTCTCCCCAGGAACCAGGGTTACTAGTTCCATGTGTATATCTTTCCAGATATAGCTTATGCTAGTATAAACATTTTGTATGTGTTCTTTTTATTTGTCTTTCCACAAACGAGGACACATTGTATAAGCTGTTCTGCGCCAGCTCCGAGCCCTTACTTTAGAGTACTAAATCTTGGCAGTCCCTCTATCAGTACTTAAGAGCTGTCTCATTCTGTAAGAGCTGCTGAGAGTACTCCAGTAAGGGTGAACCATTATTTATTTAACCTCCATTTTATTGAGATATGTGTAGATTGTTTCTAATACCTTGTTGTAAAATTTTTGTAAAACAGTCATTTTTAAGGTTTGTAAGTGGATTTTAATTATTCCCAAAGGCCCAGAGGAGCAGTAATTGACTTCTTTGCCTCACATTCCAGGAAACAAATGCCCCTACTCTCCAGTATACACCTCTTGCTTTTGTATAATTTCATAATGATCCATTAGGATCTTTGGTGTCTTTGTGGGGAAGCCTGATCCATGATGGCCAGGAACTAAAGTCATACACCTTGATTTAACACCCTGCCTCTTTGTTCTGAGTAAAAAAGAACATACATAAACTCCAAAGAAAAATCTGTAAGAAAAATTTACAAGAGATTAAATATTTCTGAACCTGGGGAAAAGACTGTGCCTTTGATTAAATTGAAGATGAAGGCAGTTTTGGTTCCATAGGGCTTGTTTACCATTAGGCACTAAAATGCCTGCCTTCTGTAGATTATCACTAATATCTCCTATTTAATGTTGTTACAGTTTGGGAGAAAGGTATGAGTAACGAGGGGGGCCATGCTTTCAGAAAATATTTGGCTCATTTAAATTAAAAATGAACATTTCAGAGTGCTTTAAACACCCCCACCTTCAGGAGCGTGGGCAGGGGCTGATTGCTCCCCAACCTTCCTCACCCCCAGGAACAGCCTCAGTCAGGATGGGCTGTGAACATTTGCTGACTTAATAAAATAAGTTGTACTGCTAATCCTAGAGATTGTGCCTAATACATCATAAAAGTTGAGTATTAGCCAGTGTTGACCTGTAAATGTTCGTTATATTTATTTTTTAGTGTTTTAAGACTCCTGTAAGCTATAGTTTTTTCCAACTGATCAACTCTTTTAGCATGTAAGGTGTTTTCCCTTTATTATGTGGCACCTACCATTGTAGTACAAAACTGCTAATATTGCCTATATTCGTTCTTCTTAAATAAGTATATATTGAGCATCTGTTACATTGCACACAGCTTGATGGGGACTGCAGATATCGCGGTGCACAGGGTAGACAGACCCTGCTGTAAATGAGTTCACATCTTACTGGGGGAGATGAACAAAAAGCAGAGAAGCAATAGGGAGGTAATACCAAATAGTGCTATGTACTGGGAGAGTAGTAAGAGTTGCTGTAGTGAAGAGGGGCAGGATGGGGGCTGTTGTTTTAGATTGAGCAGCCCTGGAACACTCTCTCTTAGGTGGAGAGATTTGAGCAGAGTTGAATGAGGGAAGACATCTGTGTTTAGAGGTCTGAAGGAAGAGTGGCTCAGGCAGAGGGAACAGTAAGTGCAAAGGCCCTGCGGGGGGGGGGGTGGTGTCTGAGCCCCTCTCTTGGGAGGTACTGGGGCTGTCTTTGTGGCTGGGGTTTATGATGGAAAGGGGATGGGGAGAGTGGCAGGCCGGAGCCCGCAGGCACTGCATTTGGTGCACTGGGTGTTCAGGTGTGTGTGAAGGAATGTTCGCTGACATGGAGTAGGCCGTGGATGGTGGTGGTCCTCCACCTGCCGGATGCTCCAGGAGAATGGGCGGGGTTTGATAGATCCCCATTCTTCCTCACCATAGCTGTGGTCAGGATGGGCTGGGAATATCTGTTGAATTAATGAATAATCAGAGTTTAAAAAAAAAAAAAACCTTGCCTGGTTTTGGTCAAACTGCTTAGATTCAGGAGTCTCATTTGAGCTTTGCATTTTGGCTCTGGCTCTTGATGTTACCAAATCAGTTACACACCTCATCCTCTCGAAGTTAGTTGTTTTTTTGTTGTTGTTATTGTTTTTACATTGGTTGTATTTGACTGCTTTTCCATGAAATTAAAGCATGAAGCCTTAAAAACCTACCTAATTTTCCAGGACATTATAGTGATTTCTGAGTGATGTAGTCAGAAGTTTCATCTTTGATTTCAGTAGATTTGCTAGCTGCTTTAGTATAAAATTTTCAAAGATGCCCCCCTTTTTTGTATACTGAATGTATTAATTCCTTTGGGCAGATGTCAGACTAATGAGCAAATAAAATATATGTACTCTATGCAGGTACTTTTATTCTGACAGGAAGAATGTGTTCATGTTCTATTTTAGGGACTATCAGGAACCGTGGTATTTCCTCTTCCCAACTTCTAATCTGTTTGTCATTCTAAATACATGTTCCTTTATGTTAATTGAAAGCGTGGGAAATGAGTTTTGAGCCAAGAAATTGTTACACATGTCTAATAAGAATCTGTTATCTTTCTCTTGACCGTGAGTTTTTGGCTTCTGTCTGCCATTAGGAGTTTTGTCATCTTGCGGAATGAGGGTTCTGAATTGTTTAATTTGCTGTTCTAATTGGTTGATGCCAGAACCAATAAGTTGTGTCTAGGTTTATCTTTCCAACTTTTTCTCATAAGCTCTGCACAAACACTAGGTAAAGGATGGCTTCCGCGATTCCTCTAAGGCTTAAGGAGAGTCAGCTTTGTCCTTTGTCACTGCCCCTGCAGTAAAAGCTCTTCATGTAGCCGAAGCATGTACACATCTGTTTTATATGTAATTGGTTGTGGTGACTTAGCGGCTTAGATGGTTGAGTTAAAGTACTTCTACTACTTTTCTTCTATTTCCTCTGTGAACTATAGAGATGCAGGAATTGCAAATTTGTCTTACATCATCTAAAATTACAGCACATAAACCCTCTCACCAATCGTTGCTGCTCATGTCCCTCACTTGGGCAAAGGTGTTTATCAGATATCGTTTTATGGTTTTATGTTGAAAGTTGAGAAAAAAATTCTGGTGGGTGAATTTTTCATGGAATTTTGTACTGAGGTGAGAAAAATCTTGGCTTTTACAACCGTTCTCCTGGTTTGTAGGCCAGGTGCAGAAGAATCTTGGAATCCTCCTCTGTGCCTGTAATTGAGATTCTCTCTGGATTATTAAGTGACAGTATCTGGACAGACCACAAGGAGGCGATATCACTTCCTGAAAGTGTGCGTGTGGCACTTCCCTAAAGGGGGGATTTGGAGGCTGAGGCCCCTTGCTGTGCATTTCCTATGACTGCTGTGCGAAGCAGCCCGCAGGGAGACCCTGGATCTGAGGACACTTTGAAATGGTG